AATTGAATACGTATGTATTATCAAAATCAGAGTTTAGACAAGCGTAATCGTGACAAATATTTAACCAGTAATAGTGTCATACGTAATATAACATAAATTATAAAAGGTAAAAACCAAATATACGACACTATGATGTCGATATTGTGAGTGTTGGTTTTATATGCGTGGGAATGGGAATGAGGTAAAATAAGTGAAAGTCATTTCGGATGATATAAATATAATATATACGAATGGGGTCTAGTATGAATGTTGTGAAAAAAATGTTTAGAGGAATGTGCCAGAATAAAACAGTTACATGAGGATCGTCAAAGTGTAAACATGTGTTAATAAAAGTAAGAGAGAGAGAAGAATTCTCTAGATAGCGTGGGTCATTTTGTTTAAAATAGTATATTGCGAATTGATGTCAATATTTAAATATTATTATATAAATATATGAATTTGTTAACTGTTAAAAAACGTATAAGATGTTGATTTCCATTTCTATCCACAATTGATAGCAGAGCGTGGTTAGTGGTTGGTGATTAGTGATTAGTGATTATTAATTATTGAGTTATTGTAATACACGTGGTCGAATAGAAAGTTTGAGAAATGGTAGATTCGTGGAATATGACAAGCATTGAACCACTCGACGGATACGAATTACTTTTTATGGAAAGAAAGAATGTTATTGGAATAAAACGTGTAGAAAAGCCGGTTCAAGGCGCAACAGAATACAAAGAAAAATTGAAGACGTGGGACGAGTGGGACGACAACGATTATGCAACAACATGAATGAGCAGAGCACATGTATTAAAATATAATAAGAAGAGGAATGGGAATAAATTGCGGCTAAAGATAAAACAAGACATGGCCGCCGAATCGGAAGAACTGAAGACAAGGTCGCTTAACGAACTTTCTAACATTCGAATGAGAAAAGACGAAACGGTTCACGATTATATTAACAGAGCAGAAGGTCTAAAGAAGCAATGTACAGAACTGAGTAAACAGATAGAAAAATTCGAATTGAAGATGTATATACTAGGAGGACTTGGACCAGAAAATCATCCGAATGCGAGAATCTTAGAAACGAGGAATATGAGGAATATATCTATAAACGATATTCGTTACGTACCGAAGCAGCAAGGAAGAAGCAAGAAAGATGAAAAGAAGAGAGGAAAGAATGTTACAACTAAGTGACTGCCAAGGCTTTAATCGTATGACAGGAAATTGCTGTGAACCGAAGAGGAACGCACGACAGACGGAGAGAAGAGTGCGAGAAGGATAGAATGAAAAAAAAGGCAGAATGCAGGATACATGGAAACTGCGGAATGAAAGGAATGAAAGGAATGAAAGGAATGAAACAAGGTTAAAAACGAGTGAAGAAGGGATGTTAAGTGTAACAACGATTTCAAATAGTGACAAAGTGCGTAACGTCGGTGAGAAAAAAGAGCGTGATATGCGTATACGTGAGAGCAAGAAACATCGAGTACGGTTATTAGATTCAGGTTGTACGAATCATATGACTCACGATGAGAGTATTTTCGTAAGGACTTAAGTTCTAAAAGGGTTGGTGACATAGTACCGAAACAAGCATCTAGCGAAAGAAATCTAGGATTAGAGAATGTTTTATGCGTACCCAAATTAAATAGCAATTTACTATCAGTCGCAAAAATAACCAATCACGGATATAATGTTAATTTCAATAGACAGTGTGCGATAATATACAAGGGTACGATTGAGAATGTAAAGATGACAACGGTGAGAGTGAATGACGCGTATTATGTTAGAACGTTTGTAACAAGTGAAAGAGCTGCGCTAGTGAAGAGTGAAAGGAATGTATGGCATGATAGATTAGGACACGCGAGTATAGACACAATAGATGAAATGAAGAAAGGAAATATAGTAATGATAGCTAGGAAGAGTGTACGCGAAAATAGTTGTGAACCGTGCATCGAAGGAAAAATCTGCAAAAAGTCTCATCCGAGACTCGATGAGAATTGATGAGAGAAGAACTAAACGGATAATGGAATTATGACACGTTCACCTTATAGGTTCAATCAAACCGAGAACATATGGAGATAAACGGTACATTTTAACAATAGTAGAGAATTTTTCACGAACGATATTTAGCAAATTAATTAACCACGAGAGTGAAGCAGCAAGAGAATTAAAGAGAACTGTAACATTAAAAGAAAATCAAACTGAAAAACATTTGAAAAGAATCAAATCGGACAATGGAAGAGAATTCCTGGGTAACGAATTACGAAGATGATTTGAAGAAAAAGGGATTTCACACGAATTCAGTCCATCAATGACCCTACAGAGCAACTGTAAATTGCGGAGAGAGCAAACAGAATGATAATAGAAACAACAAAAACATTGCTTACTAACTCAAAATTAAATCGAAGATTTTGTGCAGAAGCTGTGAACGCTGCAATTTATATTCGCAATCGCGTAAAATCAAACATACACCAACAAAAATTACCCAATGTGAATCACATGAGAAGATTTGGGTGCACAGCGCACGTACTTAAAAAGGGAGGATAAAAAAGAAAATTAAATATAAAGACAAATAGAGGAATTTTTATGGGTTATGCTGAGAATAATACATACAGAATTTTTATTCCAAAATTAAATGGAATAATGTGTGACCGAGATGTCAAATTTTTCGAAGAGAAGAAAAGAATGGATCACTATAGCTGCTGCAAAAAGAGGAAAGAGGAAAGGAAGAAGACTGATTGGTTACAACTGATTTAAATGACAAATTTAAATGCCAAAACGAAAGCAATGATGGCAAAGTTAGTGAAGACAGAGAGGCACTTACTGGAATAGAGACGTGTGCAGAGAGAGATAATAACGAGGTGGCTATGAAATACTGACTATGAAAGCGAATTAAACGCAATGCTAGAGGGTTTAAAAGAAGTTATGTCGACTTGTGATTTACTAAACGAGACTGCAATAATATAATATTACAATATAATAATGTTATATATAAATAATGTATAATATAATGTTATAATATAAATAAGGATAATGATATAATGATAATTTGAATGCAGTAAAACTCGCCAACAACGAGAATTATAAAACAAAAACCAATCTATCAAATAAAAGGTGTAATTTTGTAAGAGAGCATGTGCAAGATTATGAAATCAAAGTGTTAGATATATCAAAAGAAAGAATGCTGACAGATTGTTTAACGAAACCGTTGAATGGACCATATCTACTTAAAAATATTACAAATTTTATGTATATTAAAAATTAGAAATGAGGAATAAAACCAAGGGGAGAGAGTGTGAGTGTTGATTTTATGCGTGAATCCAAATGAGGTAAAATAAGTGAAAGTCATTTGGGATTATATAAATATAATATGTGCGAGTGGAGTCTAGTATGAATGTTGTCAAAAAAATGTTTAGAAGAATGTGCCAAAATAAGACAGTTATGTAAGAATCGTCAAAAAGTAAACATGTGTTGATAAGAGTGTGTGTGCGTGTACGTTTGTATGTGTGTGTGTGTGGGGGGGGGGGGGGGGGGGGGGGGGGGGAGGAGAGAGAGAGGTGTATGTAGTGTATTGCGAATTGATGTCAATATGTAAATATTATTATATAAATATATTGATTTGTTGACACCGTTAAAAAATGTACAAGATATTGGTTTCCATTTCTATCCACAGATATGAAGTAATATAGAATGTTAATGAAATTCAATGCTTCTATAATAATAATTAAGAATTAGGTGTATTAGGTTAATACAGTTAAAATCTGTATTTTAGAACAACATAAAATAATTAATAGGAATCTTTACATATTTTCAAGACTTTTACCCTCTTTTAAAAAAATTTATACGACATACCTGCCAATTATATTACAATGATATATGGCTATGTTAGCATTAGTACTACTGACTAATCAAAATGATTGTTTTCACATATTTTTATTTTTCCAATTACCAAATATGCAACTGTTTATAACTAAAGATAATGTTGACATTTATTGAGAGAAAATATAATTATATATAACGATTTATCATTATCATACCAGTTTAGTTATCATTTGCATATACTATCTCTAAGTACCTGTTACAAATCAGTAATTCTAATATAAAGACAATACAAATAACGTGATAATAAACTTTAATTTATTATCTGCTTAGCCGATAAATAAGATTTAATTACTATAGAGTATAGTATTTACTACTACTATTACGATATCTACTACTGAATATCTCTTTTAATATCGCAATTATTAATATCTCAGATTTCTTAATTATCAAACGCGTTATTAAGTTAATAAGGAAAATAATTTCATAATTATATAGTTCTATAATTCTTATATATGCTATTTAATTGCAAGTATACGAATTTATCAAATACAATGAACTAACAAATTCCAAGAAAATATTAAGTGGAAATTTAATTATTCGCTTTTAGCATTTCTATTTAAAATATTGTTGTATAATTTAAACTATGCGCAATTATAAGTATGACAAGTTTGAAATATAAAATTCGATATTATACGAAACAAAGTATATTATATTTCTATTATATATTAGTACATTATAATATATTATTCTTTGTATCTACATATTTGTATACTTTAACTAATTAAAACAATACATAATTCCTTAAACTATTTGTTTTCTATACATTTTTATTTTATTAATTTCACTAAATTTTACTTAGATATCATTCTATATATAGCTACATATGAATAATATCTATTTAAAATATAAAACTTGAAATTATGTTTGCTTTTTACATTAATTAAATATCAAATATAATATTTTTATTTTGATAATTAAATATCAAATTCTTTCATATATAATACATGAATAAACTTGAAACTAAATACCACATGTATACATAAGAATTTGCCTAATTCCTACGTAATATCGTATCTATTATAAACTATATCGAATATTCCTTTTTATAATATACAAGATAAAATATATACAAAAAAACATACAGATGAAAATTCGAATCAGAAAATTAAAAAATTATAATAGATTATTCTTGTACATACCTCTATATTCCCCATTGTTTGAAATGCTGTATATACCAGCATAAAGCCCAAACTCAATATTACCACATTTAAAAAATTTTTATCTATTGTCATGATGAATAAACTATATCAAGTAAAAGAAAAAGTGAAAGGAAAAAATGTCACAAATATTTCGAGCACACGTTTAAATTTCGTTATTCCAAATCAAGTATTGCAACTAAACAGAGGACACGATATAAGTGAGAAATATAACTTAACGTACGACAGTTAATGACACATAATTCTCTTCTTCCTCAATTGATATGATTTGAAGTCATCCTCACAATATGGTGGAACAATTATCGATCACGTGATGTATTACGATAGGACAAATGGGTATCGATATATCGAAATCTAATGTATTAACGAATCAGGTTATGATTATCACACTTAATATCTTTGATATATAGTAACATTCTTTTCTTGAAAAAGAAATATTTTTAATAAATCATTTATCGTGTAAATAAATATATTTCAGTATTTATTTAATATTTTGAATATTTATTTTATTATAAATATTATGTTAATAAATATAATTCTATTGAAAAGGTATAAATAACATTTTGTATCTTTTAATACGCGACATCACGATTGTATTACAGATTTTGTAGAAGTAACTATTTTAAGTTTCCCGCTCTTAAAACGATTTCTTGTTCTAAACGATATTAATACTGAGAAACAAGAATGGCCGACTGCGGATAGTAAAAACTTGTTGGTTGTCCCGTTATCGAATTTCCTGATAAATATCTAAAAGCTATATTAAAGGAAAAAATCAAAATTGACACGTAATTAAAGTTGTACTAAAAAATGAATAGTATACAAATTTTTATTCGGTTTCGTGCATGCATTAAACAACCAATGGTGAACAAGGAAATAAAATGCCGCGATTAAAATTTGTGAGGTTTTGACACGTTTACAAATTCAAGATCCAAGTGGTGAATCTTGAAAGGATTTTTGAGAGTGGAAACTCATTAATATTACAGAAGGATATACTGATCAGAACGTGCTATTTGTTCATAGAGGGTGTGAGATCATTGTACAAACATTATGACGAATTGCTGCCTCTGGAATGATACGAAGGATTCTCCCTATTTTTTTTGTCGTCTGCATTTCTTTAGTGTTTTATAATTATATTAAACATGTGTGCTTGTGAATGTCATTATAATTAACAAGTGACAAGTGATTATAATCCGATACATTAAAGTATAACTTTATTTACATAATAAGCGTTAGGTGCTTATCAACCATGAAGAAACAATTCTTCAGAGTTAAACAGCTCGCTGATCAAACATTTTCTAGGTATTCATTTTGCAATTTTATTTAAATTTTTCAAAATATTATGACACCTCTTATTATTTGCTCTAATTTATTGCATATTACAATACCTCTATGAAACATTAAATATTTTTAAATAATGCATATCTTTCCCTATATAATCTTTTTTAATGAAAATTAATTTTATTAAAACACCATAAAATTTAATAAAAGCAGACATGATATACCAAAATAACTTATGAATCAGACAATCTTAAAATGGATTGACTTTAAAGAACATTATACTTTGTCTTAATTTAAATTTATTGGTACATAATACTATTGAATATAATTTTCTTTTTATAGAGCTGGTAAGACAGAAGTACTCACAGATGATTTACAAGCTGCAGACAAACATGTAGATCAAATTAGAATGGCTCTCATTGGATTAAGTAAAAGGCTTGGTAATCCACCGAATCAAGCTATGACACAAGATCCTGCACTCAAGGAAAAGCGATTGGTAATATATAATAATAAAATTTTATTATTGAAAATAATTATAATCACTTTTCTCTATAACTTTTATTAATTGAATTAAAAATATCGAATACTAGGTTACATTTGTTTATACATGTGTAAAAGTATTACATATATTATTTGCAATGTTTCAAAAAATTGCATCCTTTTATTACTTGTTCAAAATATATTTTTCAGAAAAAATGCCCAGAGTATATATTAGGACAAACAATGTTGGAAAATGCTCCTGACGATGGTCTCATGGGTTTTACTTTATCAGGATGTGGTCGTGCACAGATGCATTTAGCAAATGAAGCAATTGAACATGAAGCAAAAGTTGAACAATATGTTGCAATTCCTCTTCAGCACATTTTAGATACAGATGTACCAAATATATTAAAACATAAACGAAATTTAGCTCGATTAATCTTAGACATGGATAGTGTGAGGACAAGATACCAACAAGCCAGTAAACATAGTGCTAGTAAGAAGAAATATTAATATTATTCTTAAACTGTTATAAACATTATGTTCAATTGTTATATAAAATTAATATTATATGAAAGGTGCAGGTGCAGCAAAAGTTGATAATCTAAGAGAAGAATTAGAAGAAGCAGAAGCTAAAGTTGAACAATGTAGAGATCAATTGGCTGCAGAAATGTTTCAACTTATGTCACGAGAAACTGAATTAGCACACACTATCATACAATATGTGAAACTTCAAAGAGCTTATCATGAGAGTGCACTACATTGCCTTGAAGAACTTATTCCTGGATTAGAAAGTTACATTAGTAAGTACATAGATATATCTCTAATATATTTCTATCATTGTCAGGTTGTATTACCAAATTGGTGGTACAAGCAGATGGGGAGTAAATCTACATGAAAAAATAAATAAAAAAGATATGAATAGGATTTGAAAATATAAATCGATGTTGACAATTTGTATAGTATGCTTATATTTGTAGCATTGTATTGCAGGCTAATTTTTGTCGCATTTATATTCATGGATGTGTATTATCAATGTCATGGCTTTATTGTATTAGAAAATTTGATGCTTAAGTTTCAAATGAATTTAATTTTTCAACAAGATGGTATACCAGCATACTTCGATAAACCTGTAAGAGACTTTTTGAATATCCCAATTGATTCAATTGTAAAGGTAACGTAATTTGGCTACCATGATTTTTTGACACAATATTGATAAATTTTTACGCATACAGAAAATTGCTTGTGACAAGAAGATTATAAGTAGGAAGCTACTCAATAAGAAAATTCAATTTACATTTGAACATTTGAAAAACAAAACCACCCTAATACTAAGAAACCAGACACATTTTTATTTTTACGCTATTAAAAAGATTCTTGATTAAGAAAATTTTATTTCAATGTTCATCATTTATTATCTAATATAATACATAGAAACAACGATATGTGTTGTACGATAATATCGTTTGATACTTGTAGTCGATAAATATTTAGCACCGATTTATTCAGAAATGAAATATCATACAAAAAAAAATATCATTCTACATTTTCGAAGATCTCTTCTCATGAAGATTTCGAATTGTATCCCCAATTCAATAACACTGTAAGTACATAATTATAATATAAAGAACAAATAATAAAATAATGTTAAAATTAACTTTTAAATGCTCATTGAAAAGAAACGAAAAATATTTAATCAATAAATAAGTTTTAGGCTCAATTGTAATTTTATATCTCTTTCTAAGAATATATTATGATCTTAATTTATTTATCTATAAGAAGTAATATAGTTAAATTGTCACAAGTGACATAACAGAAAACACAAAACAAGACAATTTTAAAACATAAATTCATTAATTCATAGTTTACACGCGTAAATATTATATTAAAATGGATAGAAGGTGCATCAAATACCTCTTATACAAAACGAAATCTTACTACTTTTTATTGATATTAAATAAAAATATTTCATTATAATATAGTGCTCACCTTTAGATTTCTTTTATATATTTCTAGATTCCTTTACTTACATTTAATGTATTCTCACTACATGTATTTAATACTATAATTGTTATGTCAATGAAAATGACTAGATTCCTTCAGTTTTTGTAATTACTAAAAATATGCAACTGCTTTTGGAAAAATTAATATTAACTTTTATTAAAATAGAAATGTATTTATGTATACTATATATTTGATACATTACAGATCGCTAATTTTAGTATTAAATTACTTACGAATATAAAATTACACTTTCCTTTGAAATAATTAATTTTATATTCTATTTTAATTTCTCTCTAATAATTCATTTCATATTTTATATTAATTAAACATTTTTCCAGTGAATAGTATAAACTGTTAAAGTTTTAGGTATTTATTTCTTACCATACAATTTATTGGTTTCACTTCAATAATGAACATAGATTTTATGTTATGGGAAAATTGAATATAATAGGAATAGTTACTTATGAAAAATTTGTTATAACATCTTTGAAATTATAGACAACTACACACTAAGCAATTATTCTTTAATTTTGTATATCTTTCTAACTTTAATCGAAATAATAAGCTTTTTAAATTGATTATGTGTAACCTGTTATGTATAATTGATATATGAAATAACTTAGTTTGCAGCTACGTACAATTTTAAGTATGTTATAATAAGATGTTTCTAAATATATATATTGTGAATTGTTCAAAATGTGTTAAAAAGTGTTCGCATATACATGTTATAATACAAAAGTATTTTGGTATATTCAGCAATTATTGTTCAATTCTTTTTAAATTTCATAATTTAAAAAAAATATCTTATTTTTATCAAAAAATTTTATTTTATATAATTATGTTCTATGATTACAGATGATAATGAAATGAAACCAGTTTATGGCTATCCTCTAGAGGAACATCTCAGAGTAACCAACAGAAAAATTGCATTACCTATTCAATTATGTGTATCTGCATTGCTAAGATTAGGTATGGAAGAAGAAGGCCTTTTTAGAATAGCTGGTGCTGCATCAAAATCACGACGAATTAAATTAAGTTTAGATGCATGTTGTTTGACATTACCAACTGCTCTGGAATATAAAGATCCACATGTAATTGCTGGTGCATTAAAGTCTTATTTACGAGAATTACCTGAGCCTCTTCTAACTTATAAGTAAATATAAGAAGAACATTTATTGATTTTAATAATGACAAAAAGATATGTAACATTATATTTATCTTATCTTAAAGATTGTACCCTGAATGGATGGCAGCTGCAAAAATAACCCAAAATGAAACAAGATTGAGGTCCCTTTGGGAAGTGCTACATAAATTACCACCAGCAAATTTAGAAAATTTACGATTTTTAATCAAATTTTTGGCTGTACTCACTAAAAATCAAGATGTGAATAAAATGTCACCACAAAATATTGCAATTGTGATTGCACCAAATTTAATATGGAGTCCACAAGAGGATGTAAATACAATGGTGTAAGAATCTACTTTTTTAAATAATAATTAAAGAAAAATATTTATTTTAATTTATTTATTTTGTAAATGACATATAAATTTTATAATTATTCGTTATAAAATAAGTTGTATGATTATTTCTACCAATGCAATATTTATTATTTCAGAATGAACATGAGCACAGCTAATAATTCTAGTCTTATAGTTGATCTGTTAATTACATACGCAGATTGGTTTTTTCCTGGTGAAATTGATTTTGATCGTGATTTGGAGATTGGTATCATAAATGGTTCAGAAAATCAAAGCACTAATATGCGTCGTTGCATTTCTAATAGTAGTCTTAGCGATCATGGTGAAAGTCCTCCACAAGGTAGTCCGAAACCAGCAGCCCGCAGAAAAAATAAACCAGCTCCGACGCCACCGAGTAGTACTACTCCAGACAAACACGATAAGAAATCTGATGACAAACCACCACCCACACCAGATAAACCTCCTAGACCTTTAACATCAGCAACTCTTAATCGCATGACATCTAAAACTCAAAAGCATGAAACAGTAAATAATGAATTAATAGTTAAACATGACAATAATACTGAAAAACAAGATGGATATACAGAAACAGAAACTAAACAGCACAGTATTGAAGTAAATGCACTTGATTCCTCATCCCTTAACTGTTCAGAACACATTAATGAAATACAAGAAGATATACATAATATGAATACAGAAACTGAAAAGGCCAATAATCAAGATGTCCAAAAATATGAAAAAAAGTTAAATGCTCCTATTGCTTTTGAAAGGAGTACTGCAGAAAATGCATTGTGCAATAAATCTGTCATAGAACTTGAAAATTCAGAGAGTTCTACAAACAAATTAAAAGCAATTCCAGCTGAAAGACCACCTCCTTCTACATTGGAAAGACGTAGACCAGTAGCTGCCCCAAGAAGTATAACCAATATAGTACATAATATAGGTGAATATCTTTATAACTTTTTATTAAGCAACATAGTGCAAAAATCTTAACGTATGTTTTAACTTAAAAGAAGAAATCGTTGAATTACGTAAGAAGCCAGATGCTGTGTGTACGAGCACGCTTGATAGAAGCAGTAAACCAGCCATACCAGAGCGACCAGCTGGATTAATACGACCTTCAAGCCTCATTAAACAACAACCACGCCACAGTAATGAAAACTTAGACACTGAAGCAGGGGTGAGTATTAAGAATTCTTAAGCGTTATGTTCATTTCCAGTACTATATGTAAGATAATTCTTTAAAATAAATGTAGTTACTGCCAGTGGACTCAACAAATATCAGTGCCTGGATATTGCATTTTGAAATACAATAACGTAAGCTACAAATAAAGTGAAGAATAAACGTGTTAATAGCTAATTTCATTTAAAATGTCAAATTGCACAATGATTTTTCAGAGCTATTAATATATTTTTCCTTTTGAATAACCCATAGCCTTTAACTTTGGAAAGAGCTCATGTATATTCAGTGGACAAACAACAGGTCAGTATAATACAAGTGCGTGGAAATGGCAATGTGTTCTGCACCTCGGACAACAACAATGGCAACGCGGCTTCGAACTTACAGAGAAGTCCCAGTGTAGGTAGTCGACCTTCGTCTATGTCCTTGTACGGTGAGCGACCGGAAAAACCAGCCAAATTGAATGCACCAGAACAAGCAAAAGCTCACGTGCGAACCAGATCCGAAGGGAACATTATCGATGTGCAAACTCAGACTGAGACGGTAATAGTAGTTAAATCACCGCAACAACCTGTTCCGGCTTCTCCAAGATTTCATCCAAGGCCTCCACGGCCACAACCTCCACCGCCACCTCCACCCACCATACGAATAAAATTGGAACACGAAAGTACTAATCTCTAGGATTAATTGTATAAAACGTGATTATTACATTTATAAGAGAACTTTATGGAAATTAATATTTTAATAAAATGAAGGCTATATTTCTTATAAGACAATATGGAACTATGGGAAACTTTCAAGAAAATAGCATAACTTTTCCTATTTTGGTATTAAGTAATGACTGTTTCAATTTTAAGAATTACATTTAAATTAATAGCAAAGTTAAACAAAATTTCATTTTAATCTTTTGAAATTACACAAAAGATGAATATATTTTCTTCTGCACTTTTAAGATAATATAGGTCAATGATAAAAGAAAAAATTAAATCTGCAATTTCGATGTTAAACATTTTTAAGTCTTTATATTTATGTATGAAAAATAATTCAAGAAGTTATATCTAATTTTTATATTTTCAACAACTCTAATATTTTTGCAACTTATTAATTTTTATACTTGTTACAAAAATAATGAAAACGTTATAAAAGCATTAAAAAAGAATTCGGTATTTAATCTTTTTAGATTTACATACTTTCTAAGTAAATTTCAGTATGGTTATTATGTAATACAAAGTGAAACATTAATAATTGGCATTAATCATAACATATTTGTATGTTATTTATTTGTATCTACAGAGTAAATGCTAGATTGTAATGCATTTAATAAGGTGATTACTTATAAAAAAACATGAAAAGAGGGATGAATTATTTTCAATTAGTTTTAAGTTATTAAAGAGAATGATTTTGAATAAACTAATGTCAACTGACTTCAGTGTAAATAAATAGGTAATCTCTGCGCGTGTTTGTTTTACAAAATAACAATACTGTGATAATATAGAATTTATAATGTTACCAAAAATTCTAAAAGTTTCAGTTCTTTAGCTTGAATAAAAATAATATTTACTACAATTATTCAGTTGTATTTAAAACAAAATATTCTAATGTATTAGTTATAAAAAATTATTTTATCTTTCCTTACTAATGCAATACTTATTTTACGTTTTACAAAATTTTATAATATATTAGCAAATTGTACCTTTTGAACGTACACATGGAGTATCTTTTAAATATAAAAGTAAATGTATGCATTAATAAAAATATTGTATATAACAATTTCATATATAAAATTTTGTCTTGTTTTCACAAATAATAAAAAGCACAACTAATTATATATTTGTTTTTTTATATGAAATCACCTGCATGATGAAATTACTATTTAGCAAATTCTCTTTAAATGTCATTAATGATGAAAAGAATAAATATCAATGTAATGTGTAATTTTAAAGAATTATTTTATGAATATTTTGACAGAACATGATTGACTCACATTGTTAAGTGGCATATACCCTTATATTGGCATATATACATATAACAAATCTATGTCTGATTAATTAAAAAAATATAAACCAAGTAATTTCATCACCATTCATTACCATTTAAGAAAATTTTACATTAAAAATTTAATAATTACAATAATTATGTTTTGTTTAGATTTATGAAAATATGTACTTTACATTCAATAACTTGTAAAATTTTAAGCAAAATTATTTTTAAAAAGTTATTTTGTATAAACATAATTACTTAAATATAACATGGTAAATGCTAGATTTATATAATACAAATTTCATAACGAAAACTTTTCCTAATGGAAGTAAGGGAAAGAAAGATTTGTATCCCTTTCTTAGCATCTTTTATCTGTACACAGAAATTGTAACATGAATGAATGTGCAATTCAGATAAATTTGTTGAACAAACTAATTATAAAATGCTACTCAAATGAATATTTGTAAACTTCAATGTGCATTTATTTAATAATTGTGATTACTTACTATAAAATCTTGCTATGAATTTAATTTTATATCACCATATTTAATAGTAATGCTATTAATATTTTTTGAAATATGTGATATGCACATTTATAATTTAAATGTATTCTGGTAATTAAGTATTCTATTAAAAACTATAAAATTTAAATTACAAAATTTTTAGCTGACGATACATAAATATTAATTGTTTAAATACCTCATAGGCATAATTTTTAAAAAAGATATTGAAAATATTTTTTATGGAACATTTTATTAAATTTTAATTTTATAATTATATTTGTAATTTAAATATACTGATATAATATTAAAATATATTATAGAATTGTTAAACAGCATAATGGTATAACTTATATTTTATTAATAAATTTTCAAATAATTTTATCTGTTCTATTGAACAATTAGGATTTTATTTTAAAGACCTACATTAAATAAAACTTAAAAATTAACAACAAAAATAAAAAAAGAACATTTTATAGATCTCTTTTTATGTAACGCGAATCGTCTAAACTTCTTAATTTCTAAATTTTTTTTTAATAATTTATGTGCATTTGACTGATATATAGAGAACATAATTAATGCAAATACATTTATTCCTTGTACAGAATAATAATTTTGAACATGTAATCTTCCATGTCTTTTATTGTTATAAGTTACAAATATTTCACCTTCCATTAATTAGTTTAAAAATGTTTGTGAAATGAGTACATTATTCTTGATATACTCAATTAATGACAAAATATTATTTATATTTTATGATTAATATTGTATTGTTATGTAAAAAGTTGTTTGAATTGTGTCTGTGACAAATCATGCATTTACCTAAGAAGTGCTTAGGCTGTGAATGTAATGTGAATGTAACTATTACAGGATTCATTTGTACATAAATAAAGAGTTTATACAAAAATGAAACTTTGACATAAAGTATTATGAGAAAATCATTAACTCAATTTATTAATATTTATCAATAAATTTAGTTATTACATGATGATACAATATACTAATATTTAATCATAATATGCCTCTTAAATGTTCATCAGCAATATCTTTGGGTTGCATACCATTTTTATCTTCTATGGATTGAGCTCCTATAGAAAGTAAATATTTGACAACATCAAGATGTCCACATGATGCTGCATAATGCAATGGCGTTTGTCCATCTTCGTCTTGTGAGTTTACATTTGTTCCTTTTTTAATCAATTGTTCTATAATCCTCAAATGACCTCTATCTGCAGCCCAGTGTATAGGTAACAAACCTTCTGAATCTGTTAAGTTTGCAAGTTTTGGTTCTTTATCCAACAGCTCTTGTACTTTCTCTATGTGTCCTTCTTTTACCCAATCCAAAAAGGTTTTGTCCGTATCACTTATTTCATCTTCCATATTTACTAATTGACTAATACCAACCCAATTACTAGATTCAGATTGTGCATTTTCTTTCCAATTAGGATTAAGTTTAGTTAACTCTTGTATATAATTATTCATGGCATCATCACAACTCATATCATTAAGACTTTCCCATGCTTCCCATTTTTGTTTTGCTTGCATTTGATACCAATTGGGCTTTGAAATATTACAAGGTCCAATTGTAGCTTGTTTATACAAAGCATAGAATCGTAAGAGTTCAGTAGAATTTAATTCTGATGCCAACGATTGTAAATACTGTGCTGCTTTATTGAATGTTTTCTCAAGACTCATTTTGACAGTTTATTTTAATGTTACATTTTGTGAATGAATTAAAAGATGGTTTGTTTCTAGTATATCTGTTATATGTATTCTAATTATTTTATTTACTATTAATATTTTGTATATTCGTTATTCTTGCATGTCATTATTTAACAATTATTATTTTTGCTGTAATCGTTATTATTATTGTACACAATTTTTTCGTCTGTATCGTTTAAATGATCATATAACATATTTTTCTTTATAAAGTCATTAATAACTTTTTCTGGTGAAGACAAAGTACCTTCTAAAATGCATAACTTTTCATTCTGAATGAAATGATTTGTTTCGAGCACATGTGTCATTACTGATTTATCATAAAATTCTACAAATCCACAACCTGTGCTTAAACCATGCTTATTAAATACAATCCTTGCAAATTTTACGTTACCAAATTTTTCGAAGTGTTTTTCAAATTCAAAATGAGAAAGAGTCCATGGAATATTACATACAGAAATTATATATCGTATTCTCATGGCAAAACTACTTAAGTTGCACGCTGTATACTTAACAAATGAATTGTATGATCTTGCATTAATTCGTGTATGTTTATGTCAGAGTCTGTACCAAGCCCAGCCAATGGTATATGAGTGCAGGTGAGATTCCATTTATTTAACAAATGTTCTATAGACCAATCTGCACTTCTCTCTTGATAGGTACATAAAAATTTTGCATTTGGATTTCTTTCCAATAAGAATGCTACTGTAACAACTATGTCTTCAAATAATGTTGGTTCATAAAAACAGTCAGAACCAAGAATTAAATCTAATGGTCCAATTGAAAATAAACTAGATAAAAAAAAACCCCATGTAATACCAATAATTTGAACTTGAGGTAAAATACCATTTAATTCACAACTTCTTCTTATATGCTGTAGACTTCTAGGAAAACTAGCAGAATCGCTTAAAGTTACAATAGCACCACATTTACTAGCTAAAATTCCAGGGAGAGCTGTACCTGAACCAAGTTCTAGAACCCTCTTCCCAATAAGTTCTTCTTTATGTTCCCACAGAAACCAAGCTAACACAGGTGCAGAAGGCCATGTATAAAAACTATAATTAGCCTGAAGTAACTGTAACAGAAAACATGTTATAAATAAAATATTAAGTAGAAAATATTTAAACAAACACAAATTTTATCTTTCTCACATTATAGTTTGAAACTTAATTTAAATATACTGATATAATATTAAAATATATTATAGAATTGTTAAACAGCATAATGGTATAACTTATATTTTATTAATAAATTTTCAAATAATTTTATCTGTTCTATTGAACAATTAGGATTTTATTTTAAAGACCTACATTAAATAAAACTTAAAAATTAACAACAAAAATAAAAAAAGAACATTTTATAGATCTCTTTTTATGTAACGCGAATCGTCTAAACTTCTTAATTTCTAAATTTTTTTTTAATAATTTATGTGCATTTGACTGATATATAGAGAACATAATTAATGCAAATACATTTATTCCTTGTACAGAATAATAATTTTGAACATGTAATCTTCCATGTCTTTTATTGTTATAAGTTACAAATATTTCACCTTCCATTAATTAGTTTAAAAATGTTTGTGAAATGAGTACATTATTCTTGATATACTCAATTAATGACAAAATATTATTTATATTTTATGATTAATATTGTATTGTTATGTAAAAAGTTGTTTGAATTGTGTCTGTGACAAATCATGCATTTACCTAAGAAGTGCTTAGGCTGTGAATGTAATGTGAATGTAACTATTACAGGATTCATTTGTACATAAATAAAGAGTTTATACAAAAATGAAACTTTGACATAAAGTATTATGAGAAAATCATTAACTCAATTTATTAATATTTATCAATAAATTTAGTTATTACATGATGATACAATATACTAATATTTAATCATAATATGCCTCTTAAATGTTCATCAGCAATATCTTTGGGTTGCATACCATTTTTATCTTCTATGGATTGAGCTCCTATAGAAAGTAAATATTTGACAACATCAAGATGTCCACATGATGCTGCATAATGCAATGGCGTTTGTCCATCTTCGTCTTGTGAGTTTACATTTGTTCCTTTTTTAATCAATTGTTCTATAATCCTCAAATGACCTCTATCTGCAGCCCAGTGTATAGGTAACAAACCTTCTGAATCTGTTAAGTTTGCAAGTTTTGGTTCTTTATCCAACAGCTCTTGTACTTTCTCTATGTGTCCTTCTTTTACCCAATCCAAAAAGGTTTTGTCCGTATCACTTATTTCATCTTCCATATTTACTAATTGACTAATACCAACCCAATTACTAGATTCAGATTGTGCATTTTCTTTCCAATTAGGATTAAGTTTAGTTAACTCTTGTATATAATTATTCATGGCATCATCACAACTCATATCATTAAGACTTTCCCATGCTTCCCATTTTTGTTTTGCTTGCATTTGATACCAATTGGGCTTTGAAATATTACAAGGTCCAATTGTAGCTTGTTTATACAAAGCATAGAATCGTAAGAGTTCAGTAGAATTTAATTCTGATGCCAACGATTGTAAATACTGTGCTGCTTTATTGAATGTTTTCTCAAGACTCATTTTGACAGTTTATTTTAATGTTACATTTTGTGAATGAATTAAAAGATGGTTTGTTTCTAGTATATCTGTTATATGTATTCTAATTATTTTATTTACTATTAATATTTTGTATATTCGTTATTCTTGCATGTCATTATTTAACAATTATTATTTTTGCTGTAATCGTTATTATTATTGTACACAATTTTTTCGTCTGTATCGTTTAAATGATCATATAACATATTTTTCTTTATAAAGTCATTAATAACTTTTTCTGGTGAAGACAAAGTACCTTCTAAAATGCATAACTTTTCATTCTGAATGAAATGATTTGTTTCGAGCACATGTGTCATTACTGATTTATCATAAAATTCTACAAATCCACAACCTGTGCTTAAACCATGCTTATTAAATACAATCCTTGCAAATTTTACGTTACCAAATTTTTCGAAGTGTTTTTCAAATTCAAAATGAGAAAGAGTCCATGGAATATTACATACAGAAATTATATATCGTATTCTCATGGCAAAACTACTTAAGTTGCACGCTGTATACTTAACAAATGAATTGTATGATCTTGCATTAATTCGTGTATGTTTATGTCAGAGTCTGTACCAAGCCCAGCCAATGGTATATGAGTGCAGGTGAGATTCCATTTATTTAACAAATGTTCTATAGACCAATCTGCACTTCTCTCTTGATAGGTACATAAAAATTTTGCATTTGGATTTCTTTCCAATAAGAATGCTACTGTAACAACTATGTCTTCAAATAATGTTGGTTCATAAAAACAGTCAGAACCAAGAATTAAATCTAATGGTCCAATTGAAAATAAACTAGATAAAAAAAAACCCCATGTAATACCAATAATTTGAACTTGAGGTAAAATACCATTTAATTCACAACTTCTTCTTATATGCTGTAGACTTCTAGGAAAACTAGCAGAATCGCTTAAAGTTACAATAGCACCACATTTACTAGCTAAAATTCCAGGGAGAGCTGTACCTGAACCAAGTTCTAGAACCCTCTTCCCAATAAGTTCTTCTTTATGTTCCCACAGAAACCAAGCTAACACAGGTGCAGAAGGCCATGTATAAAAACTATAATTAGCCTGAAGTAACTGTAACAGAAAACATGTTATAAATAAAATATTAAGTAGAAAATATTTAAACAAACACAAATTTTATCTTTCTCACATTATAGTTTGAAACCTTAATGGAAATGGAAATGTAAACTTCTTCATACTTAATGTTTTATAATTAATTAAAATATGAATTTCACTACAAAGTATTTCATTTACATTATTTCATTGCAAAAATATGAGTTACTAACATAAATATTTTAGAAAAATGTATAACCAAAAAAGTACATGTGACATACATATAATAAAAATTAATTAACAATGTATAAATTAATAAAATGCTGTATTACCTCCGGGATATAAATTTCTAAAGTCTCTCTTTCGTTGCACTGTACGCTATCTTGAGTTTTACGAGAGGTGAACAAAAATTTTTTTACTTGCTCAGAGACGATTCCATCGGACATTAGGCTGTGCGTAGGTGGACTGGTATCGCGTGAAATACTTTCTTCTAAACCTGGCATGACTAATTATCAAATCGTTTGTACTAGTACCTATACATTCTGACTGTAATTATTAACTTGAGAAATAGAAATCATAAAGTTAAAATTTTCTTCATCTACAAATAAAATCAAAGTTGGAAATATAATCACTATTTTGTCCAGAGTTGTCGATTCACACTAGCAATAGAAAACACAAACGTATAGATAATATTTAAATTTCGAAATGGCGGGAATATGTTTGGAAAAAAATGAATTTGTTATACTTAAATGAAAACAAATTTTTCTTACTACTATCAAATTTTATTCGTTCTTCTTTTTTTTCAAGTTTTTTACAAAACTTTCAATTTATATATATATATGTAGATATCATTCATATATATATATGAATACATAATATAAAACAACTTCGAAAACTTAAAAATATTAATATTTCTTACTGTTGTTATTAGTTGTTTATAATTTTTCATATAAAAAATTCCAATTAAATTTTTAATTTAGAAATATTCTAATAAATATTAATAATGATATTTTGTTAGAAGTATTTCTTGATTTAATATTGTTTGATATATTTAAGCGATTTCATTGATTTCATTGAACATTTTTTTATTTATATATTTTTAAGTTTAATGTGTAATGTTTAACCAAATTAACCAATTATTAGTTCATATGGATATTCATTATTTGTTATTTAAGTACATAAAATTGTATATTAAAATAATATAGTAATATTTTCACAGAAAATATTAGAATAATTGCTTTCTATGCATATAATTTCCTTGCGAAATAAATAATACTTTTTATATATAATTTAATTCGGACGCACCCATTTAAAGACATGTATCTTATATTTATTTACTTTGTTCATTAGAAATAAAACTGGATACAATAATCAACATATATTTATCAAAATTAGAATATTTACAGTAGGAAAGATATTTTTGAAATTTTAATGTTGTCATTCTATGTCATGAAAGACTTGAAATTTAAATCTTTAACATTTGTAATTTTATTATAATTATCGATTTAATTACAAAAAGTTATAATAATGCATATATTTTTATAAATATTTTTAATTAAAATTTAAAGAAGAAAGAATATTATTAACAATAATAATAGAACATACAATATTATTATGCTAGAAATACTAATTTTAAGATATCATGACATTTCTATCGTTTTAGATACTTGATACAGTGCTGTGCTGGTCGTTTTGATTAAAGATGGAGGAGGCTGGTAATGAGAAATTTCTGTCAAGGAGGCGCTCTGCAGCTCTTAAAGCTTTTAAAGTTAAAGACGAACGAGTTGCAACTTTCAAAAAGGTACCAACATAGCATTTAATGTTGCCTATTTAATCATAATTAATCAGTTGTAACCTTTATCTAAAATTTTTATGTATTTCCCGGCATTACCTTTGAAGCATCGTAAACAACTACGGGAATCGTACATTTTTATATTTTCTTAGGTAGCAGCGATTCTACAAAAATCTGAAACAGACAGAACTGCAGAAGAAACTGGAATACTTGTATCTTGCAGTGATGTAGTAAAGGAGGTTAATTTAAGGTATAGCCATTTTGAAAATCATTGATTCTACATTTATGAATGTGTCAAATTATTTTCTCATTGATAATATAATATGAAGTATTGACATAATATTTGAATCTTATTGCTAATTTTGTAATGAAATAAAAACGTTGAAAATGGAGTTTAGTAATGAATATGTTATTAATTATCTTAATGAAAAACTGATTAATTTCTTAGACAAGAGAAAAGGCATAGAGTAAAAGCAAGGCTAGAAGAAATAGAAGATGCACCAGAAATTTTGGAGGAAAAATGTATGAGATTAGCTGCAGCAATTAGCAGAGCAACGTCACTTGCTGTTTATACCGGTGCTGGCATCAGTACAGCTGCTTCTATTCCTGATTACAGAGGAACAAATGGTGTTTGGACTCGTTTACAACAAGGAAAAGATATTGGGTAATATTAAAACTAATTAAATAATATTAAAATATAATTAACTGAAACCTATGCTCTTTTATTATTCATGTGAGTAGTAGTATTATTCATGTATTTGTTAATTTTTTGTATATTTACAGCAATCATGACCTTAGCCAAGCAGAACCAACATTAACACACATGGCTCTTTATGCCTTGTATAAGGCAAGAGTTTTGAAGCACGTAGTTTCTCAAAATTGTGATGGACTTCATTTACGTAGTGGAATACCTCGTACACTTTTATCTGAAGTTCATGGCAATATGTACGTGGAAGTTTGTAGAATGTGTAAACCATATAGGGAATATTGGAGATTATTTGATGTTACTGAAAAAACAGCTCGATATTCTCATGGTACTGGAAGATTATGTCATAGATGTAACTCTGTTTTACAAGATTCAATTGTTCATTTTGGTGAAAGAGGGAATCTTCCCTGGCCAATTAATTGGAATGGTGCAACAAGAGCAGCGAAACAAGCAGACGTTATATTATGTTTAGGTTCTAGTTTAAAAGTTTTAAAGAAATATCCATGGTTGTGGCAAATGGATAGACCGATTCATAAACGGCCATCATTGTATATTGTAAATTTACAGTGGACTCCGAAGGATGAAAATGCAGTTTTAAAAATAAATGGAAAATGCGACGAAGTTATGAAAAGAGTCATGACTCACCTTGGATTAGAAATACCACAATATAATCGTGCCAAGGATCCCATTTTTTTTCATGCAGTTCAACTTAAAAGTAACGAACAGTATACAACAAGTCAACCTTGTTTGGAAGAACCATCCGATATTGCTCATAAGGAATTAAATCAAATCAGTGACAACTTTCATGACGATGTTTCATCTCAAACCAAAGAAAAAGAATGTGTTTCGCCTAAAAGAGTAACTGAATCCATGTCTGCTTATTCAGCACCATTTTTTACTGCATTACCATTTTTATCTATGGGCTTACCATTTCCACCAATGTATATGTGTCCTCAATTAACACCGCTTTTTTATTATCCATTTGTGCAAGTACCAAATATGTCTTCAGATGTGCCAAAACCCAAGCCTACTTGTACTTTTTGCATGGAGAATGAAGGGTCTCTTACTTGTCTTTATTATCAACGAGACACAGATAATTCTACTTTAATAGGATCCGAAAGTAAACAAATAAAAGATACAAAAACGTTGGTAATCCATACAGATCCTCCAATAGCTGCTAAAAATCCTGGATGGTTTGGTAAAGGATATCGCAAAGGCATGAAAAAGAAACGGTAGCATTTACTCTTTCTGATACATGACTTTTCTATTTTTCTGTTATAATGTGTACGTATAACATATAATATATGATATTGTACCTAAATGTTTGATTCCTCCATATCACGATGAGATCTGTATACACAATTTAGAAATGTGTAGCAATTTAATTCCAATATTTAAAATTTTAGCAATTAAATTAAAGTATTTAAAATTTGAAAAACTAAAACCTAAGCATTCTATTATTCCTGTTCAGTAATTATATAATTACTTCATTTTAAAGACTCGGTTGCAGAATGAAATAATTAATAAATGTTTAATTATTTGTACAAATTTAATTTGAAAATTGTTAATTTGCCAATTTCATTGTTGGTAGCTTGCTATAAAGTATACTTGATTTAAAGTTTTTATCAGTGTACAGGCTAATTATATTGTGATTTTTAGTTATAAGATCTTTTTTAAAATGTTGTACGAATTAAGAAATGTTCGTAGTGACCAAAGTGATAATTTTTTTTTATTATTATTTTTTACTTAATATTTGTACAGTTGGATGTATCATAATTTAAAAAAATAACGAATGTGCGTATAAGTAGTATGTATGTAAAACTTTTTGTATCTTTTTCATATTGATTTATCATTCCAGTTTATGAACTAAATATTATAGCAAAATTCATTCTATGGATATTAAAGGACAGTTTGTAATAACTATTGAACTGTAATAGCTGTTTTTTTTTTTTTTGTATCAATCAATAATGCAATAAACAAAAGAAAATTTTATAAAAAGATATAATTTTTAATTTTTTTATTTATTTACTTTTTAAACATTAAATATATCGAAAGGAAGCAGATATAAGCAAAATATAGATATATGAATTTGTTGAAATTTTCTTTACTTTTTCATATCATGTCATTGTTTAGTATTTTTTAAATTAAAAGTGAATGGGTATGTAAATTACGCGTGAGTCCATACATATGCATATGATTCACCTTTTCGTATTATTAAAAAGTTCACTATTTTTATCTATTCAACTATATAGTAATTTGTTATATAATATATACGATATACAACAAATATAAGATATTGATATTTTTGTAATATTTGATATAAATATTTTCTTTAAATCGATGTAGTTGTAAACTATAATTAGTGAGAAATGTATTGTTCATTAAGTCATAATATTTCTGGCAAAGTGAACTGTTATTTATTTATAATGTTATTATTTAATTATAGATTAATGGATAAAATCCATTTGACAACTTATAATCCATAAGATCCACCATGCTCAATTTTGACAATAAAATAAAATATGTTATTATAATAATTACTATAAAATAATAGGGTGCAAATATAAATTACAGGATAATATACATATTTGTTGATAGGATTCACCGATGATTGAAATTAATATTCTTAAAACAATAATAAAGAAAAAAAGCGTAAACAATGATAAATAGGGTTAAAAAGAAGTTAAATTAGCGTTGTGAACAATTTAAATTTAACTAGATTTAATTTTAATTAATTTAAATTAATTATTTAATTGGTTGTTTAATTTATTGTTTAATGAAACAATATAAAAAAGAAATGTGAGAAACTTGAAAAGGGTACAGTTATACTTGGATGTAAGTATCCAGATAATATTTTTATGTTTTACTTTCTAATTTACGACAAAGTTGATTCTGTTATTTACATTTCTATTGTTAAATAGTTCTTTGAAACGAAATATTTTGTTCAATTTTGGAAAGAAATTTCATGCATGATATTTTGAATGATATAAACTTTGAAATATATATATATATATATATATTGAAATATATGGGAAATATGAAAGAACAGACTTCCTATAGAGAAATTGTATATATGTATATATATATATATATATATACAGAGAGAGAGAGAGAAATATAAGGGCTAATACCGCCAGAAGGGAAGAGATTGAAAAAGCCTACAGTCTGTTGTCATGGTAACCCCGTACAGCGCCACCCTATTACCTGCTTCGACAGTACTTATTGTAAAGCTTACCGTAGTACTTTACCGATACTATGATAGCGTACGTCGACCGCTCATTGACTTCTTGACTTTGTGCAACGGGATCTCGTTGCAAAGCATGTGATTCTAGTACTTTTACATTACTCTTATAGAAATGACATCGAAATAACTTGGGTGGGCAGTGGATGAAAAATATCATACGTAAAAAAAAGAAAGGAAGAGATATATGAAATTAAATTAAATTTTATAAATATAGAATAATTCAATATGGATATTTTAGAAATAAAATGAATCAGATTACTTCTCAGCTGTTTATCCCTCTATTTTTACTATATGTATATCTATTATTTTATAAATAGATTATACACATGTTTACAGTTTCAAACATCGTAGCTGTAGTACATAATTTTATATTCGATAATTAATTAACAAAACTTGCCCATTTTCATTTTTCTTTTTTAATGTAATGGTATCATATTACAATGAAATTTGAAAATTGTTTGAATGTATTCATGAAAGGTTAATATAAATGTTAAATAAACGAATATATTAAGTTTTGGGCCAAGTATGAATAATTTTAAATCTATGTAGATTCAATCATTTTTTAAACGTTTAAAACTGACTACCTAAGATGCCTACTTTTCATTATAATTGGCGAAATAATAAAAATAACACGAATAATATAAATTGTTTTTTAAATTTAAATTATGTCAATCAAGAGAAAAGGACACTTGGTAGTATACCGCAGACTTACATATAAATGCAGGATCAAAGTTATTAGTCTAATTATTTTCGATTGGGACAGTGTAGAGGTGTTGGTAATATGAATATATATCATCGGATTGTATCTGTGAGTGGATGTGCTTATAAAGTCAAATCGATGATATAAGCTAATTAACTATAATTAGCTCTGTTATACTATTGTTCGTATATCATCTTTTTTATGGTATATGAAAATAATGAACAGTTTTGAAGTATTTGTTTATGTACATCTAATACTCATTTTTATGTTTCTTATATTTTACAAAAAGTAATTACAAAAAAAAATACGAAAATGTTTAAAATTGCATCTTCATCTCGGTTTTATTTTCTGAACATTTTATCTCGAGTTTGAGTTATGATTCCTAAAGAAATTATATCGTATATACCTGTTTGTTACTGTTAAATATGTAGTAATTATATTATGCAAGTACTTTTTACGAACTTTATTCTAAACAGAAGATATAAATTAATAATCGTTAAGATAGAATTATGACATAGAATTTTATAGCAGGAAGCTGCAAATTACAGGAAGAAATATTTTTAAACTATTACATTTCTATATAATTGTAATCGCATAAGATATTTTCCAACACGATATGATATATATACATACATACATACATACATACATACATACATACATACATACATACATGTATGGGAAAATGCAAAGTGTAATTTACAATCGAGTAATTATTTATTTAGGAGGAAAATTTGATTAATTAAAGAAATGGAAATTTGAAAAGTTACTTTATTAATATTTACTAATATTAAAATTACATATAATTAAAAACATATGCTTCGAATATGGACTTTTTTAGTAATAGTAATTGCGTTAATTATTTAAAAAGAAATTTATTTTAATCGGCATAATATTAATATATATATTTGGTGATTCGTTTATTAATTATTTTGTTATATTTCATTCGTATAATTGTAATTATAATTATAATTAAGAAATTAGCGAATACGCGTGGATGTGGGTACACGTGCAATGGAGAAACATAATATACGTACATTGGAAGGAAAATATATAGGCATTATCCGCGAAGATTATTTTATTAAAGCGGGTACTTTTAATTTTTGCTACGTTCGATAAAATTATTGCGTTATTAGTTGAATAATTGTAATACAATAATTGTTGTTTACATTCATTGTATTGGAATGTTTGTCGGTTTAAACGAGACAATTTATACGAAGCGATTTGTATTTTTGAAGGAATTGCAAATATTTTGTTATATTAATAGTATTAATAGAGAACTCGTTATATATTATTTCAAAATTAGTATAAAGTCGAGATGGAAAAAAAAATGCTTGAAAGTAAAATTTATTTAAATAGTTGGTGAGGTACGGCAAGTGATTCGTATATTTTTCTTATTAATAACGAATTATTAATAAAATTAATAAAGAATTATACATAACAGAAAGTAAGAATTTGTCGGCATCGCATACGCGCGACACATGCGCGCGAGAACATATGTATGCGTATAATGTGTGCGTATACATATATTTAGATTTAGATTTAACGGAAATATTACATTTTACATGTAACTAAGTTACATATAAGGGTAATAGAATATTTGATCATATCATACACATAGATGCTATGTGAAATATTAAAGAGAATTTGTAATTTAGTACGGTGATATAAGATTGAATAAAAATAAATAAAGAGAGTAAAGGTAATATAGAAAAAAGAAAAATATTGGACAGAAGGATGAATTTAAAATGCTAACAATCCGACTGGAAGACCTAAATCCATACAAGGAGGAGATTTATCATTACCGGTTGGTCGAGCACTCTAGCGGTGGCATTGGATACTACGGGACGACAGTGCTACGTGAGAAATCGTGATGGAGTAGTTTATACCCTGTTTGGTCGTCGTTTCTCATCCGTGTTGTTCGAGTAGGTTTAAAATTAGCAGGTTCTCGGTGTACTGGTTGATTAGAAAGAAAGAAAACTTTTACAATTACAGCTAACAGTATGTCACTGTTGCTGGAAGTAACTTTTTGGTTTTTCGCGTCAACGTAATAAGGGAAAGACGGTGTCGGAGGGTCAGGTTATCTTCTTTGTTCGAGAAAAGCCTCATCAGAGTGGGCAATGGCGCGGGAACCTTACGTTCCAGAATCGGTGTGTGCATGGCGTAGGTGATGATCGGTGTTTGTACATGTGGCATGGTGTTTATAGCGAACAGGAAGATTTACATACCCTGCTGGATCGACCAGCTCGTCGGATTTTGGATACGAGCCGTATCGTGAGCCGCCATGAGGCGCATTAGCGGTAAGCCAAATGTATTCTTAGCCATCTTAAAGGATATTTTTTAATATTTATGAAGGAACAGACGTAGGTGTTTTGAAAAAGTATCGGGCTTACGTCTTTTAACCGAGTTTTCGATATCGCGAATAATTTCTCGAAGAATAGATTGACGTACTATATTAGAACGTGATTTCCAATTTCTTTACAAGGTTGCGCACGCGCTGGTTTCGCGAGTCGTTTGCGAATTATTTAATATTCAGTTATAAATCATACGGATTGTTTCATTTATTTTACATTAGATATAAACGATAGGTCGTACTCGACGAGTTTCTGTACTCCAATCGCTCTACCGATGAACATTTGCAAACGAATATTCCATCGAATACATATATTATAGTCTCTTTAATTCAACGATCAAACTACATTCGTTGCTTTGTCTCGCATCAAATCGTTAAGTTTTACGTAACCGTTTATGCTACATTTAAAACATTTGACGTTTTTTAGATGAATATATTTTATCGTTGGTTTATACTTGATCCGGTAATGGTATAAGACATAAGATATTAAAGGGAAGATAGAAAGACAGGATCGATAATAATCGATTCGTAGGTTTCGTATATTACCTATCGTATTTCATTTAACGATATTTTGAAATTCGTGTGAAAATATCGAGAAATGGAATCTCGTTGACGAAAATGTCTACGATTAACGGATAAAGTAGGGAAATAAGTGAATTAAAAAATATTACGTGGAATAGCAGATGATAAATTCTTCGATGTTTTTGTACAACGCTACAGAATCGACGTAGCAAATAGTAAAGCTAGAAAGTGGAGTCGCTCGTAACTAGCAAACATGTTTGAACCTTTCCCCTTCTACCGGTGGAAAGAAGCTGCTCGAATATTTTCTCGTTCGTAGCGTCGAGCAAAATATAAGATTCGTTTTTCCAACGGTAACGATACTCGAACGAGAGAGAAAAAGTATTAAAGGCTATTTTTCTCATCTTTCGTGTACAACAAAGCGCGTTACAGTTACAGTTTTTCCGACGTTTATATCGCTTCTAAAATGAAAATCTCCTCGTCTATACGCGCATATATCGTACCGAGGAAAAAGGAAAAAGGAAAAAGGAAAAAGGAAAAAAGAAAAAGGAAAAAGAATGATTTCGACGAATAACAACTTACTAACCGTATTTTAGCTTTGTTCGATCTTAAATTCGCTACCTACATATATACGCGTGTGTCTGAATTATATTATCACGAATGAATTATATTATACGAATTTTCTTAATTACGTTTCTCTGCGCGTGAAACGAAACATATATTCCGTTCTGTTAATTCGATATCTGAGAAAAATTACAGGACAGTATTTTCACGATTTATTTTTTATTATAACGATCCTTAGTTTCGAATCGGTGCAAGAGAAGATGAAAAATATCAATTTGTTATTGCTTTCTTATACCCTTTACCTTCTGTCTTCCTTTCTACCTACTTTCTCTTACGATAAAAACAGATGATTTGCACAGAGATAATAGCATTTATAACGTATAAGAATTGTGGAAGAAACATTTGGAATATGCGATTCGTTGGATCGGTGAAAGAAAAATCAGTGTCGTTATCGATTCGTTATACATAGTACGATATTAGCCGTTGACTAAAGGATCCAAGTATCCGGTGGGGGAAGGATGAGAGACGACGAGGAAGGTGGGACTAAGGGAAGGAGTAGAACAAAGTAGGAGGGATGAAAGTACATATAGGAAGAGGTGGTGGAAGTAAAGGAAGAGCGAAAAAAGAAACGAGGAAGGTATCTATACGTAGCACCACGTTTATCCTACCTTTCTCCCTCTCTCTCCCTCCATCCCCCCATCACTCTCTCTCTCTCTCTCTCTCTCTCTCTCTCTCT